AGAGAGAGAGAGAGAGAGAAAGAGAGAGAGAGAGGAAGAGAGACAGATAGATGGAGAGAAAGAGGGAGAGATATACAATCGGGTGTTTCACGTTGTGTCTGCACAATTTGTAGTCATTGTGACAGGTTGAACGTAGTGTAGGCAAAACTTGTCATTCGACGTGACTAAATGTGTGCTGTGTTGAAATGAAAACTAGAGAATCAAGTCCTATTACTGTGAAAGTGATTTGTCACTGTCAGGGAAAAGCACGTTTCAAATGTATGAAGCATAAAGAACTTTGTTTTGTAACAGATAGTATTTTATCCCCTGCCCATTTATAAGAGATTGACGCCATCTAATTTGCAGAAAAAGTGCGTATGATAGTGTCCAATAGTGTACGAGTATTACGTGCATACTTAGTATGACAATAATAGATAGAGATTCTAGGATTATATTAGTATTAAATCATTGATCAGTCATGTTAACGTTAGTCATATCTTCCTCTGCTTCAATGAGTCACGAGTAATGTGGGCACCCTCTATCCCTACAATCACCGTAAAGTTCCGAAAATGTGGGAACAGTCTCTGTTAAGGTGACACTATTAGTGTTAGCCTATTCTATCGGGAAGATTGAGAAAAAGTGTAAGACCAGAGATATCTAAAACGCAATTCGGCTTTGTTCCCTACAAGGGCACCAGAAATGCTACATTCACTTTAACAATGTTAGTGGAAAGATGTATAGAAGCACAGAAAGATCTGTATGTATGCTTCATAGATTGTTCAAAGGCGTTCGATAAAGTTAGACATGATGAGCTATTTAAAATACTGGAAAAACTAGACGTAGACAGAAAAGATCTAAGAATTATCAGGAATTTGTACTGGAACCAAAACGCTGCTGTACGAATTAAATGGAGAATACAGTGGAGCAGATTAGGCGAGGAGTGAGACAAGGATGTGTTTTGTCACCAGACCTTTTAAACATGTACAGTGAAACAATCCTTAGAAACATAGAAGAATGTCCAGGTCTCAAAGTAAAAGGAGAAAAGATTAATAACATCAGGTATGCAAATGACACATTTTGATAGCAGGCTCAGAAAAAGACATTCAATTGCTTCTAGATACTGTTGTAATAGAAAGTGAACGTAAAGAATTATTGTTGAACGTAAAGAAAACAGAATGCATGGTAATATCCAAAAAAAGCAGCAAAGCCTAGTTGTGATCTCATTAGCAAAGGTGAAAAGATCAAACTAGTCCAACAGTTTCAATATCAAGGATATATGATAACATCTGATACCAAACGTTCCACAAAAATAAGACGGAGAATTACAATGGCTAAGGCTAGTTTCAATAAAAAATCAACCCAATCCTGAAAAATAGAAACATCTCAAAGAACACCAAAATGAAAGTTCTGAAATGCTATATTTGGTTAACCCTTCTATATGGCTGTAAATGCTGGACAATCACTAAAGACAGTGAAAATAAAATAGAAGCAACAGAAATGTGGTTTCTTAGGAGACTGCTAAGAGTATCGTGGAAGGAAAAGAAATCAAATGAGGTAGTGCTTGATGAAGCCCACGTGGGACGCTCAATGTTAAAAACAATCAGGAAACGACAAATGCTGTGTTTGGGACACATAAATAGACTTGAGGTTCTTGAACATTTAGCTCTCACTGGCAAAATCGAGGGCAGGCGTGGCAGAGGTAGGCCCAGAACAACATACGTAGGGAACCTAAACAAAAGGGTAAAAGGGAAAGATCAGGGAAACGTAGCTTTCTTTAGAGCATCCGAGCAAAGGAATGAGAACAATGATCGGCGATGTCTGTCACAGATCTGGCTCTGGATGATGATGATGATGATTCTATCGGGCCAAGTCAAGTGTCGAGAGGAGCTTAGTGGATAGACAGTATAGTGGCAGGTATGTTGGGGTATTCGTAAACGGGGGTTGTAAGAAGCAAGTTGGCAAACAGATTATGAACTTAAAAAATGCAGCTTTCTACTCCCTGATCATCTACCCCGAATATTCTTTTCGCGTTCTATTAAATTTGCAGAGAACCCGAGCCGAGAGGGCACAATTTACACACTATATTGTATCCCCTCGCCTAAGGGGGAGCGAATACAATAGATAGTAGATTCCAGGCTTCTGTGATAAGGTTTTCATGTGAGAAAGAGGAATATAATATATTTTTGAGCTCTTCGCTGTTGCTCACATTAACAGTGAGTCGATTCCTGAGCAAGAAACTTTGATTTTTTCTATGAGTGTCTCCGTCTGTCTGCTTAGGTGAGCCCTGACAAACCGAATCAACGTAACTTGCCTTGTAAATGATCTTAATTATGTCGATAAGGGGATAAGAGAGAGGGAGAGGGAGAGGGAGAGAGAGAAAGGGAGAGAGAGAGAGTGAGAGAGAGATTGAGAGATGGGTAGGAGGGAGATGGAGACAGAAACAATGAGACGGAGAGCTAGACTTATACGAGTGAAGCAGAGAGAGGGATAGAGAGACACAAAGAGAGGGGGAAGAGAGAGAGAGAGAGAGAGAGAGAGAGAGAGAGAGAAGGGGGAGGGAGAAAGAGAAAGAGAAAGAGAGAGA